GACCAAAACAAAGTAAAGAGTGGACTGGGCGACCTGACGGATGAAAATGGAAACAATGTTTCGGACAACAAGAAGAAATCCAATCTATTAAACAGATACTTTTGCATTGTATTCACCGGCGAAAATCTGGAAACAACACCATCATTTGAAAGCCGTAACAATAACATCGAGCTAACAGAAGTTCAAATAAACGATAAACTGGTCCTGAAGAAACAAGAAGAGGTCAAAGTTTCAAAATCCCCAGGGGCTGACGGTCTACACCCAAAGGTCATTCAAGAAATTGGAAGCGAAATATCAACCCCGACCAAAATCATCTTCCAGAAATCTCTCAATGAAGGGAAACTTCCATCCCAATGGAAAGAGGCAAACATAACTGCACTGCATAAAAAGGGAAGCAGGAAACAACCAGAAAATTACCGTCCGGTGAGTTTAACAGCAGTCATTGGAAAATGCATGGAAAAAAATCCACGGGATAGAGTAATGGAACATTTAGAAAACAACAACTTTTTGACCAAACACCAGTACGGATTTAGAAAGGTTAGATCAACAACCACTCAACTACTCGAAGTCATTGAAATTATCACCAAAATTGTGGAAAACAAAGAACCAGTGAATATCATTTATTTAGATTTTAAAAAGGCCCCTGATACAGTCCCCCACAAGCGTTTATTAACTAAGCTTGAGGGATACGGAATTACTGGAAAGGTATACGAGTGGATAAAGGACTTTCTTATCGGGAGACAACAACGGGTGATTGTACACGGTGAGGTATCTGAATGTGAGGCTGTAAAATCTTAGAATACCACAAGGGAACGTACTCGGCCCAATCCTGTTTGTCATATTTATTAACGACATTCCGGAACACATTCATACCATCTCTAAACTATTCGCAGATGACGCAAAGATCATTGGAAAAACCGGTTCTGTGGCAGAGAAAGATTTGATTCAACAAGATCTGAACAACCTCACAAAGTAGTCTGATAAATGGCAGATGTCATTCAACACCTCAAAATGTAAATCAATGCATCTGGGGCATAGTAAGCAGGAAAATAAATACTAAATGACAATCAAAGGAAGCTCGACCAACATAGCACGAGTGAAGAAAGAACAGGATTTAGGAGTCACATTCGACAAAGACTTAAAGTTCAGCAAGCACATATCAGGATGTGTGCCAAAAGGTAACCAAATGATCAGCGTTGTCAGACGAACTTTTGAGCACCTTGACAAAGAAACGTTCCTAACAGTCTACAAAGCATTGATCAGGCCACATGTAGAATACGCAAGTTCTGTTTGGAATCCAATCTACAAAAAGGATATCATAGCCATCAAAAACGTTCAGCGTCGGGCCACAAAATTAGTAAAAGCCCTCAGAAACAAGACATACAGAGAAAGACCAACGGAATACCAACGCTCCAACAGAGAAGGAAAGAGAATGATACGGTACAGGCGTACAAAATTCTACAGGAAATCAATAAAGTAGAGAAATCTGAGTTTTTCGAACTAGAGGATAACACCACAACTCGAGGACACCAGTGGAAGCTGAAGAAAGCAAGGAGCAGGATAAACTGTAGAAAAAAATGCTTCTCCAACAGAATTGTGAACGACTGGAACAATCTGTCAAGCTTGGTAGTGACTGCAGGAAGCCTGAACATTTTTAAATCCAGACTGAATGATCACTGGAGAAATCTGCCTATTAAATTCACATCTGATTGTTATTAGCTCCAGAAACACAAATAACTCATCGGTACGCATACGTTATAATTTAGTGATATTGTATCGCTAATTTTAACAAATGCAAAAATAGTAGTTATTGGGGGTCTTAATGGAACTTGTGATAACCGGCATTAAGGAAGTTATGAATATTCAACAAATCAATAGTTTGAGTTGTAGGTTAGCGAACCGGTTTAGCTACCCATAGAGAAGTATGAGACGTGTATGACCGAAAGGCATTTAAATAGAACTTCAGAGACTTTTTGAATTTCAGAATGTGGCGCTTACCATAGTGTACATAGTGGCTAGAAACGGACAATGGAAGGGTAGTAAAATACTAATTTGCTATCTTCAACAGCCAACAGAGAAAATGAATTTTAAGGTCATTTGCAAATCCTCAGTTAAACATGCTGTTAGCGGGTTAGTGAATATGATTCGCTACCTCTACACGTCTGCAACTATATATCAGGAATTTTAATTGTACAGAACTTTCACTTTTAAATCAACACACTAAAAGCGTTAGTGTGAACTTTTATCTTTAAAAACTTGTCACCAACAAATATGCGCATACCATTAAGTATCGATGACTACAAGATATAGGACAGTCCCACAAGTCGAACACTTACAACGACTGGAAGAACAGTGCGAACAGTGCGAATCAGTCTGGGCCGCAAACTAGATAATGAATTTCGATGAAAAACTTGAGTTACGTGCATCCATTCCTTAGTACGAAGAAGATATTAAGCAGAATCTATACCAGCTGAGTAATGGATACATTTTAGATCTACAATTCGCAAATTCATGCAAGGGCCTCAGTGGCGGATCCAGGTTTTTATTTTTTTGGCTTCAGGAAACCCCTCCACCCTGAAATTTGTCTTTAAAAATCATGCATTTTCACCATTTTCCTCAATTTTTCCCCACATGGAAGAAGGATTATTTTGACAACGAATCATAACCATAACCATTACCTAGGCCTAACGTTAATGCAGGCAAATTCGTCACATTAATAAGGGTTTCAGTTAATAATTTATCTAAATATACATCTATCAAAATGCCGATGAGCACCAGTCAGTACAGAAGAACATTTGACTGAAATGCCTATAAATAAACATTGTTGTAAACACGCCTGAATGACGTCACGCAGCAACATTTGTGACGTCATCAGGCTTTCTGTGTTTTTGCTAAAAGTCAAAGGTGCAGGCAGTTTCGCCATCTTCAAACATTTCACTAATTTGCAAGTAATGTAAGTGTTTAAACGTAACATTTTGTATGTTTATGTTTCACAAGTCATACTGATAAGAACAGCTCCAAATGTGTGTGTGTAACAATGATTAACATTCAAATACATGGTTTTTACACGCCCGTCAAATTTGACGGGAGTATTATGGTATGGCGTCGTCCGTCCGTCCGTCCGTCCGTCCGGCGTAAACTTTTGTTTGTCCGGCAATATCCTCCTACATTTCTCTACTGATCTCTTTGCAACTTGGTTCACATTATAATCATGATATGAAGTTGTGTCTCCCTTAAAAGAATTTTGATTCGACAATTTTCCAAAAGTTATTGCCGTTTGTTCATTTCATTATTTGATTTTTTGTCCGGAGATTTTCTCTACATTTTTTATAGCATGTCAGCTAACCACTCTTAGAATTATGCAAATCCTATTTCAATGTAAGAAAGTATATAACACTATATGGCAATCGACGGGCGTATATTGTTCCGCCCCGCGGTACTCTTGTTCTTAGTTGTGATAGTTCATTTTGATAACTTGAAGAAAATGATAAATGCTGTTCGAGTTCGGCTGACATGAGATGAGGTCAATTTACATGCATCGCAATAAAGACTAAGTCCTGAACAAATATAAACTTCCAAATCGGTGCCCAAAATTATATTTTTCATCGGGTCCGGGGCTTTCAATGCATACTGGTACGAACAGCTCCAAATGTGTGTGTGTAACAATGATTAACATTCAAATAAATGTTTTTTTCTTGGGTATGCTTGTATTATGAAGGACTTGGGCGAACCTCGGGTAATACAACCAAAAACATCACCCCTCGGGTTGGAGATTTCTCTGTCACACCCTCAAGGTAGGGGAAGATTCTTTTAATCTTCACACGGGGTAGGGAAAGACGGTTGACACTCGCCATGACGTCATAATAATAAATTGTCGATGTGACGTCATTGTATTATTTCCATGATGTCATACATCGCGGAAATAATACAATGACGTCACGATCCTCCGTCTCAACCCTAGGGTTTTGGGGTTTTAGCGGAAGAGTCAGATCGATGTTTATTCCGACTGGAATGTGTTTATTGTAAGTATGTGAGAAAATAATCAAACATGTGTCTGTTCCATGGACAGGAATATCTGTGTATTTTTCTCAATCCTCGATACTCCAGGGGTCCGCTCACTTACGTTTCCTACACCCTGGAATATATCATGACAAAATGGAAGGCTAAGTGTGCACCATCTTGTGGATGAGACAAGAAGGCTAGTTTGATCCGTTGATGCACATCAACATAATTTCGCGAATTTGTAACGGTAAAATTGACAGGTTTTGAAGTCGGGTTGCGCTCCGCTGAAATCTTCAAGGGGCAGCTATCAGCCTAGCGAATGGCCAGGTTTTATCACCTGCGACCAATTAAATGGCTATTCGCATGTCTTCGATCTTTTCTTGACATATTCAAGGGGTGCAGAGAGCATAAGTGAGGCATTTTTCTCCTGTGTGATTTATTTTTCTAAACCAAATGCGAAACAACAAGAGTAATTACAAGGACATAGAGAAAACCTATGACGATACGAAAATATGACGCTTCAACTGACATGTAAAATGTATGCCAGGCAGAGACAAAAATCCTTGGGTTAAAAAACTTGACTACTGCTATGGAACCATTGACAATCTTTACCAGTATTCGTTTGAATTTTAACTATCTTTACTGATGATTCGGTCGACACTCTGGGTAACAATTGAAATTGACAATATTGATATTTTCATCATAACCAAGGTGGGCCTCGGTTTGTAAAATTAGATAAAACTTGCTCATCTTCCAGCAAATTGTCGGTCATTGAGCTTGAGTGCGATAAATTCCGAAAGCGAGTTTAATCGGCTCTGATTATGAGAAAATACACCTTTTGATAAAGTTACTGTATATTATTAGTGCAGTTATACACTTGTAACTATATATTAGATAATATTACTCTCTCTCGCTCTCTCTCTCGCTCTCTCTCTTTTACACATCTAGTGTGCATCTTATGAATATTCTTTAATCATAAAAAACACACAAAAAACGAGTCCATATAATGTAGTTTACTACAGACTGTTTAAAAGTATAACAAATAGTTTCATTTTTTTTTATTTAAGCACTTTTCTGGTAAAAGTAAACCTAACAAGAGAAGAGAATAAAATCAAAGGTTTAAAAACACATCACATATTTTAAAGAGAAAATAATGATTTTGCAAAGCAAACTGAGGTAATATATATCAACACATGTCGTTCTTCCTCCCGTGAAATCTATGTGTTACCTTAAGCGTTTGAACACTATAACATTGTCATCATCTCTGTTGTATTACATTACATATACGCATCATGTTACTGGATAGCTATGGAGACTAGTTGCGGAAAGTTTCATGGTCAGATGTGGAGATATAGATAGTTTAAATTTTGTTTTATTCTCATAACATATGTAGTTCATAATACAAATATATAAATCTGTTTCATGGTAACCAACATTAACAACTATAGCTTAGGGATAGTGACGTGAATAGGGATACATTACAGGGGAAGTTAGAAGGGAGTTGGGAAAATGCAGTGTAAAATATGGTACATGTACAAAATATGTTATATTCAGGAATTCGTAGACTGGCTACCAGCCCCTAAGTTTTTATGAAGAATTGCTCAGCTGCATTTTACTACTAGCTTATTTCCCCCTAGTTTAGAACTTAGGTGAGTGCAGAATGGTCAAGCCCATATAGCATTACTGAGATCATTCTGATTTGATTTGGTGGCTGGGATGTGACCAGTGGAAGTTTTATTACCCTAGGTTTACAGGTGGTTGTTGGAGTGGGGGGACTGGGCAGGAGGGGTTTCCTTTAGCTGTGTTCGTATGGTCTTGGCTACACATACCAGGGCCTGATTTTATCATGTTGGATATGTCCTGAACATGGATGAAGCTATGGCAAGCCGTTAGGGTTTTCACCCATTAAAAACTGGGGTGTTCGTGGTTTCACAGGCAGCCTAGCCCCGGAGTCAAATTACAAACCTTATCCACATTTGACCAGTCTCTAGAATCAGACATCCAAGTGATCAAAATTTCTTGAGTTAAACTTATTTCTTAATAATTCAATATTCTAGAGACGGTGGCTAGTCTAAGGAATTCGGTACATTGTGGTCAAGACAAATCCTTATGTTGCGTCATCGTTAGTACACTTTAAGGTTAAACGTTGATTTACATACTATTTCAAGAAAAAGGTATATTTAAACAAGCTGCATTGCAATTCTGATATAAAATATACTCTATGATAATCATGTAGATAGTCTTTCCCTACGCAAATAGTCGTTGTGATAGACTGTTTACATTCCATACGCTGTAACTGATCAATTGGTCGTCACATCCCGTGCCTTTATTACGTCGTTCTCCTGTTCATTCTTTCCTCCTGGTATATCCTTTTAAACTTTTGCATCTGGAAAGACCAACCACATGACTTACTTTACATATAATCTAAATTTACAATGTGTATATGAATACAAAAGTCATTGAGTAAGAATCGTATTCGAAGACGTGGTAAGATAATGAATCAATTGATTTATTACTATGTTGATAACACTTATATATTGATATTGATAATGGAGTTCATTTTGCGGTTTTATAACTGTGACTGCTCTTATATTTGGCACCAGTGTGATAATATTTAAGCGTCTAAGTGAATTGTACACTTGTCTATACACTTTTTGTATGATTTTGTTGTTTAGTTAATTATATTCCGTAAAAGTATTTTAGTCGATGTCTTCATGTAGTCAGTGCTCCCACAAGGAACACGGGACTAACTATACTCGTTGTGTATAGTCCAATTACAAATAGGTTCTACCTCTTCCTGAAAATAAAAAATGATTTTGAATAGGATGACGTGCAGACACTAAGTAAACGTGTTCTTATCAGTGACCGCACAACCGTCTTAGTAACAGCGGTATTACTTCCCTGTTACAACTAGTATGTTAATATTGTTTAACATAAAACTTATTTTCGTAATCTGTTTTATGATGGAAAGTTTATAATACAATTAAATAAAATTGTTATCAGCAGATGTTATTTCACATACATGTAATTGAACATGCATTTGTTACACTAGATGCTGTAACTAGTTTCAAGTTTAACATCAACATCAATGTTACCAGCTAACTATATGATGTGGTTTTTATGATTTTTTTAAAACAATTATTCAAACGACTACTGCACATGTATTTAAATCATCCGGGATAACATCCGAGATATAAGTGTATTCATTTGTGTATCGTAAATCAAATAATGGTAAAAAGTGTTTAATTCGTGACTGATTGTACCGGCGACTTAACAACAACGCAAAATCACCTTATTGCAATATAGATGGTTTATAGTAAACGGTAGCAATTAGATATAAAGAAAAATCTCAAGGGCCCGGCTAGGCTTGATCCCCCCGGTATACTTCGCATTTATAAAATGGGAAAAAAATAATCATGGAGCTGCAAGGTCTCTATATATATTTCGATCCATGTGCGACATGTGTGTGAAAGTGACGATTTGTTTCTAAATTATCACTTTGAAGTGCGCTCCGAGCGCGGGTCGCATATTTCCCGCATATTATAGAGGGCCGGAATTCTGACGTTAATCGACGACAGACCGATATGAAAAATGTCGATAAAACGTCAGAATAATTCGGACTACAAGGTCTCGTGCACTAGTTTATTGATATCCTAATGATTAATTCTAATGAGTATAGCAGAACTTTGCTAATCACCCGTTTGATAGTTTACTAACACTGGGAACTTCTGTGCTGACGTCACCATTACAATGAGCGTTTACGATTTAGCAAATGTCAGTACCCAAAACGGATCACGTCTAGAATTTGTAATATCTTATGCTTCAAATGATAAAATCTAAACAAGCATCTCAATATTTCATAAACCCATTGTGTCATACAGAAAGCATCGTCCTTGCATTCGAAATGTGTTGACAACATAAATAGTTGTCTTCATTATAAGTTTGAAATATGTGTTCCGATTCAATTCGATCTCGAAAAATACTAGTATTCACCTGTAGATAAATATACATATTGCACGGCTATCTCTTCTAAAGCTACATCAGTGTAAATAATCACTTTTGAATACTTAAAACTCTTTTTGTGATTAGTGATCCGTTTTGGGCACTGATCACATTTGGTTCCTCCCTCCTTACATACACATTTGAGAAAGTTCGAAATCATGACACCTGGGTCCTGGTTTTGGATGAAATTCATTTTTTAATGAGAAAAGGCTTTCTGATAACCAAAAAACCTTTTTGAAGTGATGATTGTTTGATTTAATATTTACAAATGAACTTGTTTGTGTACAAAAAAAATGCATGCAAAACGAAAATGCCAGTCGCTAAGTTTGCGTTGACCTATTTCCTAGGATTCATATGGAGTTTAAATTTGTGTATTCACACCAAAATGCTGAAATATTTACGCTAAATCATACGTAGAGCTAAACGATGCATCTATGTAGCTGTTACTGATATTAATCTGTAAATTATTAGGGCGTTATGTTCTTCAATTTGTTCCCTGGCATATCAATTCCTAAGATGTCATGCTCTCAATTGATGTGTTTGATATGTGGTATCAAAAAGGAACATTAACCATGGGTTGATATTGTTCTCCTTGGTCAATATGAATATGTATCGACCGAAATTACTTTATACTTTATTTGTTTTGTTTGAACTTATTTTTAACATAAAATAACACCAAATTATAATATTGATTTTGACAATAATACCGAGCGATTGATCTAGATGTTTTTTCTATCTAAATGTATACTTCATTTTACGTATCCATAGAGATCTAATGATAAATGAGCAGTCAATTATAATGAATTAAATATCTTGCAATCAACTGCTTAAATTAATTACAAATGCTTACAACTGATCACAATTTAACCAATGATAAACTATTACTTATTTTAGTATTATTACAAAAGTAGTTGTACACACTCAGCTTATTAAAGTTTGAAAACAAGTAATATCTTACTGCCAAAGTTTGCAAAATGATTTTCTCTCCCGTCTGCATTTGTTGTCGGGTGTTTCTAAAACAATAAAATGATACTGGATTTATCTTTATTCACAACAGCTTCAATCCTTTAAGGTGGCTTTACACATCGTCATCAGTGTCCATTTTCGTGACGTAATTCCGGAAAAACTAAAGCGGGCTCATATGTCGTCCTTTCCGTATTGCGTATCGGTACTATTTTTTACCGGCTGTTACTATAATTTACAGTACGGTATTGAATGTCCGATACGCAATACGGAAATGACGACATATGGTGTACATGCACATTGCGATCGAGATAATTGAGTCCGCTTTACTTTTTCCGGAATTACGTCACGAAAATGGACACTGACGACGATGTGTAGAGCCACCTTAAATGTTTAAAAGTTAAAATTTGGAAAGTTTCAACGAATTTTGCCTGTTAATTGCGAAAGTATGGAGCCTCTTTAAATCATTACACATATATGTATTATTTAAAACCAATATCGAACAAGCAAAGAAACTGTTTCGAGGGAAAATTGAATTCATTGTCTTATATAAATAAATTAGTCATATCATAAAATATTCCACAGAGAAACCAAATCGCAAACAATTTGCTTTCACATGAAGAAATCCATGACAATATACCTTTTTCTGCACGTGACAGTTGCGTTATGTATGCAAGACGATCCTCCTGAAACAAAACATTTACACTACAGGTTTTGATTTATTTTTAACGTCATAATAAAAGGAATCACATCAAATTCACCTTGTTTACAAGAACTCTTCATGCTTTTGAATTACAGACAATTTCTGACTTAAAATTCACATCAGCTTTGTTTAATTAAAACATGACAAACCAGAAGTGGGATGCTCGTACTGTGGTGGACTAAATTGTGATGTTGAGCGGCTACATTAAACTTAGTTATTACCTCAAAGCTTGTGTACAAATAACTTGCTGTTATTTTAGCTGTGTTAATTCGATCAGGGGATTGATCCATTGCTTCCAAGGCTGAAAAAATAGAACATATTTTTTGCAGAATTAAATCAAAGGACTGTTTTAAACAAAGTAGAAATCGTGCAAGTAATGATGCGGCATTATTAATCATTACAAATGTGCTCGTTTTCTTATTACACCATATCATAAAACATTCTTCTTCAAGGCTAAATCCATCGCAAAAAGATAATAATTCGAGGCTATTTTTGAACATTTTTGAAAACTCTACCGCACCTTGCTATTATTTGGTGATTATCAAAGTGACCTTTTGGGGGTCGGGCTATTTTTAAGACACCATTAACAATCATTGTCATGACGGTCAACTGTAATAGACGCAGTTTCCAGATGCAAACGAGAATTTGTGGAAGTTATATCTTTTGATATCGATTGACAAGTCAAATGCTGTATTAAGTTTTTGAGACGGAAATTCTGAACAACTTATCTTCATATACAAAGCAAATTATATTATGATGGTAAAGCATAATGTCAAATTATAAAAAGGTAAACTTTAAGGATGCTTTACTAACTCATGTGGAATGCCATTTGCACGACATTTTGCTACCATTTAAAAGTTTAAACGCGTTGTTCATATGAAATTGTAATATCTGCAAAACGACGAGACAAGGAACCTACCTGTAATAATGAAGATACGGCAAGGCTTCCCAAGTGTGGTTTCATAGGTTACATAGCCTGTCGTTGTTCGGTACCGGGGAGTGACCTTCATCAAGTATCTGCAATTTCCTTGCAGAAAGTGCATCCCTGGTCCATTGAATAGTAGACCACCAGGACTGACCACACCCTTCCACAGGTAACCTTTACTTGACCACCCTTCTTTTATTTCTATGGAATACGTCAAACTTGATGACGTGAGATCTGGAGCGTCCCAAAGTTCGTGTGTTGTAATAGACGCTCGAATGGCGGTTCCAGGTACGAATAACACTCGTTGATGTGGTCGTATGGCTGAAGATCCTGGCAACAACAATATTCTCAATATCAAAATGAATGAGTTAACTTTAAATAACCTAAACGAAATTTATAAATTTGCTACAGATAGCTGGTATTTTTATATCGAATAAGTATGCCTTCATACGAGTATGTCTGGTCTTCATTCCGTTTATTTCTAATTAATGCATTGATATTTTATAAAATTGAAAGTTCTAGATGGTTTTTATGTATTACTTGCGGAAACTGAAAAAATATGCAGGACAAAAAGATAACACAGTTTCAACTGCATACATAACATTGCGTCATCCCACATTATTGTTATAATTGATAACATTGGTACCAAAATTTAAGGGAAAATTCAACAGGAACTGAAGTAAAACATCGTCGATTACACACAGTATACATCTACACTATCTCTCCTCTCAACAAGACAACAGTGGAACGTACCCGGAAGAGTCGACGATGGAGGAAAGGCGCAGATTATGCATTGTCCTAAATTAAAATGTCAATCTAGACCACCTTCGAAATACGAGGATAATTCGTAGTTTTTGAGAATTAAAAGGAATAAAATGTATATGCAACCTTAAACTACCTGGCCTGGCCTAGGCCAGGTGACTTATTTCGTGACGTAAATCAATACCCAGTGTCTGTCGTTTTTACATGCTTGGCTTGTTTTTCAGCAGTACATTGTAGCATACCAAGTCGGATTTGTACAGGTAGAGGAGTCCGAATTCCTTTACAGGACAATAGCGAATAATTCTATAAAATTACTAAAAGTCTTCTCGCAATACAGCAAAGCTTAGTTTATTTCAAAACTTTCTAGCAAGTTCAAACAAGGATTCTGTTTCATAATTGGAGCTGTTTTATATGGTATTATTATGACCAGAAAAAAATAATCTTGAATTTTCAACGCATTTAGTTTTAATTAACATTTGCTCTCATGGTAGTAGAATCCAACTTTGGTCAAATCAGTGCCATGGGTCTAGCGCATTAACAAATACCGGTCCATACGGTCATGATTCTACTTTTCCAAGTAATATCCCCAACTAAATGTTAATACTACAAATAGAACCCTATCGAAATGCTCGGGTGAACGACTCGGGCACTTCTTTGATCTTTTACAGGTAAATGATAACTCAAAAATAAGGAAACATTTTACATCAGTATACAAGTAACTTTTCTATATTGTCACGAACACAAGGATTATCTTTAACTACTTTAAGCATATCAGATCATTTACTTACCCAATGATAACTTCAGTTGCTTTAAGTACGTGGTCACTTGAAATAAACTGAGAGGTGTCGCTAAAGGTGTCATGCCCGTTAGACTGACATTCGGGATAACTTCGGTTTGTTGTGCGAAGTTTGATAATCTATCGGAAACATAAAAGATAATATAAAACGTTTGTTTATTGTATCTTTATTTAACAAGCAAAAGCTTGAAGTATACCCTATTACTACACTCTAGAAAAAATTAAGTACAACAAAAGAAATATCAATCTACAAAAGAACAGAAATGGACCTCGAAGTCAATACGAAAACGCAGCAACAGGATCTTGTGAAGTAAATGACCCTCCTTCTTGGTTTTATCATACGATGGTGATTTTTAAACATTTAATGCAATAAATGTCATGTTAGTTTACAGTTTTTTGTTATGAGATTTGAAGTATGTCAATCGTCATTTTAAGAAAACAGGCTCGATATTTTATTTAATACAAATACTTAAATGAGATTACCAACGTCACTTCTAAATTTTTGTAACAAAATCCGAAGAAACGTCTAAAATCCAATGGTCTGTTGGACGGGCGAGCAGAACGTCTGACATCGACAAAATTTGTTACACCATTTCTAGGGCGCAACACATTATTTGTACATGCAGATATGTCTAGTCGAGTTAACCCTCAACTCCATTGATTCGTCATTACGTTTTGTTTTACTTACTCTTCCTGTGTGTTGTTCACCAACTGAAAAATTAAATGATTGCAAAATAAAATCTGCAATTTGGTTTTGGCTTTGGCCATTTGGTATTTGTTAATATTGGTGTATTTGGAATTTTGGTTTGTAATCTTGTTTATCTTTATAAGTCTGACATACTAGAACACCCATGTCTCTTTTCATCCATAGAATACATATCAAAAAGCACCCCATGTTGTACTCAATCCGCACTTTACATAACCTGAATTCAAAATCGGTTCGCAAATAAACAAAAAGGAACAGAAAAGACATCATCACAGGGAAAAGAAATTTTATGATACTGATCTGAAATATCATGTAAAATTGGTTAGATTTTAAACAACCGAATCTTATTATCTATACCTTGAGGAAGTGTGATTTTGTTGTTTCGTTCACACTGTCCAAAGACATTTGAGCTAGCCTCGCTTCCCTGTCCACGACGTCTCCGTATGCGTGTCTCATTGAATTAAGATGGCGTATTCTTGAATCAACAGCCTAAAAGATAGACAAATTGCAGAACAGTATTTGGGCAATGACTGATCATAAAAGGGATGATTAATTAAATAAGATCTTCTTATCTTGATTTTCAAAACGTAGGCAAACATATTTCAATTCTTTTCATAGTAACTCAGTTTAGAGCGAAATCGATAAATCGTTTGAAAAATTTACAGAAAACAAGATTATCTGCATGACAAGGTCAATAACATTGCGATAAACATGCATGTCACATTGATGTGTCAGAGCCAGAACACAAAATGAAGATAAGATGCCGATTTTATTAGTATCAATAAGTATAATAATTTATTGAATATACTTAACTGTGTTTCCCTATTTGTGTACCTTACTTACTGTCGATATCTAACCATTTTGTCTTCTATTCCTCAATTAAATACATACCTTCTGTCCGTCCTTAATCAGATAATCTTCAGTTTCTCCAATCACTTTCTTCAATGTTGCGAATTCCTGCTGTATTTGTTGTTTCTGCAGAATCCATTCCAGCTATACACACAGACATTAATAGAAATGTATATTAGAAATGCATTCGCTAGAGATCCCAATACAAATAAATGATCACGGCGTACAATTATATTTTTATTTTACTGAAGCCTTTTAAATCACTTAAGTTATTTCCATCCTCAAGGAAGTACCTATATAAATATACAATGAATACCACCAGCGTTTAATTAAGTTATAAATGCCGGTAACAACAACTTTTACCTGTTTTACCCCATATAATTTGCCTGATAAGACCACGCAGTAAGGTAAGACTCTTTGGGTTCCCCCACTGATAAAACTCTGGAGACACCACTGCTTCTATAGTATAGTGAGAAGTGAGAAGGGACTCTGATTGAGTGGTAAGTCTTATCAGTTCCAAGGGTTTCTCTCGATACCCAAATCTTTCTACCCCCTCCCCTTAAACTATGTCATGACAAAATTGAAGATCCTTATGCGCCACCTTGTGGATGACCAAAGTAGACTAGTTTGATCCTTAAATGAACATTAAAAGAATCATGCGGTAGCAAAACGGTCAACTGACTGGCTTTTAGTCGAATGTTACGCCAATGTATTCTTCAGAGGACAGCTACCTTCGATTTCGTTATGACGTCTTCCAAAGGTGTAGAAAATATAGGTATCGAGAAAACATATGGAGTATGTAGATAATGTTACCTCGGCTTAGATAACAGAGTAAGATAAAGCTATGATGATGTCTTTTTTTATCATCAAATGAAATAAGACTCTTTGGGCCTTTTTTTGGCCATACAGTGGAGTAAAATTCAGGGGGAACATTTGCTTTAATAGTCTTGAGGGCTTCTTATTCTATCATGAAGTGAGACGAATATGGAATGAGGTCTGAATCTGGGGACGTCTGTCTTTATCGTACATTGACAGAGGAATCTGGGGGTATCTCTCGTTTATCATACAGTGACACAAGAAACATCCGCTTCGATAATGCAGTTAAATAAGACTCTTTTGGGATTCTTGTTGTTTCGAATTTTAAGATACCGAAATTAATCAACAATATCTATTACAATAGGTGTAATCCTGATCTTTACATTTTCCATTTGTTGTCCATATATCATACACACTGCATTATATAACATTTTATTTCATAACAAGAATATCATCATGATGGTTGAAAAAAAGTAAAACTCACGGAAAATCTATATTTAAAATGATTTCGAGAATATTCAAAATATGGTTTACACTTTTGTAATGTTAAGACAGAAACAAAAAACCAATCATAATGATGCTGCTGCATACATACCTCACTAGCTTACAATGCAATCATAAAAAACCCATTGATAACATATTTTTGATAAATGATTTACTTACATAGGCAGCTAAATACCTACTCTCACTGATTCCTCGCACTCGTCTAATGCTGTCAGATTAACGTGAGCTTTCTCCAAACATCTCGTCCCGACCTGTCGGTATGACTCTAGGAGCTGTTTCTGAGAACATATTTCAATCACATCATTAACACGTTCTTCATAATGTTTGGAATGCTAACCTCACGTCAAACAATCTGGGACCGAGTTCGATAATGAAATATGCAAAAGACATTTATTTAAGTTATTTGCGAAATTACACATTTCATGTTGCATCTATCGGTAATTATCTGATTTACTATGTCTCAGCAATTATCATCTGAAAATATAGTTAAATATATATCGTACATGCCTATCTCATCATAAAAAGACAAAAACCTTAACAAATACATAGAATAAACAACAATCAACCAGAACATTCAACCCCCGCTACGATAATCTCTCTGATCGGAGCTAACGATATGCTGGTAGAACACGGCTATAAAAGTCCAGTAAAGTACTGTATTATATACTGCACTTAATTTTGATCATTATTTATGAAATAATAATTTTAAAAAATATGTAATACTAGAATAATGAACAGAGACATACCTTTTCATTCTTGATGTAAGTTTCCACTTTTTCGACGCCATGTGAAGAGTGAATGGATAAGGCTAAGCTCATTGCGCATATTGGCTGATCACAAGTACGGCAGTACCAGGATAATGGTTCGTCGTGGACTCCACAGCGTAATACCGTATGTCCACTCAAGATCGTGTGGTTCTTGTAGAGTGTCTCACGAGGGTGAAGGGCATAGATGCATACCGAACAGCAGTTCACCATACAATCCTCACAGGAATAAAGGGCCATATTTCTGTGGTTACAATGTGTACAAATGGCAAATAAAGTCCCTTTGCACTGTTGCGTCCTGATCGCAGAAGTCTGTTTTAACTCTGTTTGTTGCTTGGTTGTTGAATGTTGTCTGCTATATGTGTCTGATACAAGATGAGATGACAGATTCGGATTGTTCACTGACGAACCAATATCTTTTGTAGAACCTTTGTCAGTTGTCTTTGGTTTCAGAGAGGTATGTACAGGTATCCGCCTACTCATAGGTGTTCCTATGAAATTGATTTGAACCTTTTGATTCAATGTTCTTGTTGATCTGTTGGTATGGTACAATGAATACTGTTTAGCAATTTCGACATCAGTGGCAAAAATGCCACCATCTTCCCACAAATTTCCTCCTAGTTCAGTACCTTCACAAGAATCACCAGGTAGACATTCGACTGTGTCATTCAGAGACTTTCCGTCATCACAATCTTGACATGTTGGAGAAGGGCATTCTTGTGCCTTCAATTTGTGTTCTCCTGCCTGATCAACAGTGACTTTGGTTGTTGTGTCGTTTGTATCAGAAGTCGTTTCTGCAGTTATTGTTTTACTTTCATCTTCCGCACTGTTAGCCAGATCAGTTACCCTTAGTTCTTCATCTTCTGTATCTTCATCCTCTGTACTGTTAAGATTTGTTGTTGTATCTTCATCTTCCGTACAATTGTTTAGGTTTATTGCTGTGCTCTCCTCCTTAAAAATGTTGTTTATATTTGTTTTATCTTCCTCCTCCGTACTGCTGTTTAGATATGTTGTTGTTCCGTCCTCCTCCGTCTTGAGGTTTAAAGGCGTTGTACCTTCCTCCTCTCTACTGCTGTTAAGCAGTGTTGTATCTTCTTCCTCCGTCCTGTTGTTTTGACTGGCTGTTGAACATTTTTCCTTCGTACTGTGGTTACAAACTGCAGTGCTGTTGTTTTGATTTGATGTACCTTCCTCCTCTGTACTGTTGTTTTGATTTGCTGTTGTATCTTCCACCTCCGTACTGTTGTTTAGATTTATTGTACCTTCCTCATCTGTACTGTTGTTTAGATTTGTTGTACCTTCCACCTCCGTACTGTTGTTTAGATTTATTGTACCTTCCTCATCTGTACTGTTGTTTAGATTTGTTTTACCTTCCACCTCCAAACCGTTGTTTAGATTTGTTGTACCTTCCTCCTCCGTACTGTTTAGATTTATTGTACCTTCCTCGTCCGTACTGTTGTTTAGATTTGTTGTACCTTGCACCTCCGTTCTGTTGTTTAGATTTGTTGTACCTTCCACCTCCGTACTGCTGTTTAGATTTGTTGTACCTTCCTCGTCCGTACTGTTGTTTAGATTGGTTGTACCTTCCTCCTCCGTACTGCTGTTTAGAGTTGTTTTACCTTCCACCTCCGTCCTGTTGTTTAGATTTGTTGTTCCTTCCACCTCCGTACTGCTGTTTAAATTTGTTGTACCTTCCACCTCCGTGCTGCTGTTTAGATTTGTTTTTCCTTCCACCTCCAAACTGTTGTTTAGATTTGTTGTACCTTCCACCTCCGTACTGCTATTAAGATTTGTTTTACCTTCCACCTCCGTACTGCTGTTTAGATTTGTTTTACCTTCCACCTCCGTACTGCTGTTTAGATTTGTTGTACCTTCCTCCTCCGTACTGCTATTAAGATTTGTTTTACCTTCCACCTTCGTACTGCTGTTTAGATTTGTTTTACCTTCCACCTCCAAACTGTTGTTTAGATTTGTTGTACCTTCCTCCTCCGTACTGCTATTAAGATTTGTTTTACCTTCCACCTTCGTACTGCTGTTTAGATTTGTTTTACCTTCCACCTCCAAACTGTTGTTTAGATTTGTTGTACCTTCCACCTCCGTACTGCTGTTTAGATTTGTTTTACCATCCACCTCCGTACTGTTGTTTAGATTTGTTGTACCTTCCTCATCCGTACTGTTGTTTAGATTTGTTGTACCCTCCACCTCCGTACTGCTGTTTAGATTTGTTTTACCTTCCACCTCCGTACTGTTGTTTAGATTTGTTGTACCTTTCACCTTCGTGCTGTTGTTAAGATTTGTTGTACCTTACACCTCCGTACTGTTGTTTAGATTTGTTGTACCTTTCACCTTCGTGCTGTTGTTAAGATTTGTTGTACCTTCCTCCTCCGTACTGTTGTTTTGATTTGTTGTACCTTCCACCTCCGTACTGTTGTTTAGATTTGTTGTACCTTTCACCTTCGTGCTGTTGTTAAGATTTGTTGTACCTTCCACCTCCGTACTGTTGTTTAGATTTGTTGTACCTTCCTCGTCCGCACTGTTGTTTAGATTTGTTGTACCTTCCACCTCTGTACTGTTGTTTAGATTTGTTGTACCTTCCACCTCCGTACTGCTGTTTAGATTTGTTTTCCCTTCCCCCTCCGTACTGTTGTTTAGCTTTGTTGTACCTTCCTCGTCCGTACTGTTGTTTAGATTTGTTATACCTTCCACCTCCGTACTGCTGTTAAGATTTGTTGTACCTTCCTCCTCCGTACTTTTGTTTAGATTTGTTGTACCTTCCTCCTCCGTACTGTTTAGATTTGTTGTACCTTCCACCTCAGTAATGTTGTTTAGATTTGTTGTACCTTCCACCTCCGTACTGCTGTTTAGATTTGTTTTACCTTCCCCCTCCGTACTGTTGTTTAGATTTGTTGTACCTTCCACATCCGTACTGTTGTTTAGATTTGTTGTACCTTCCACTTCCGTACTGTTGTTTAGATTTGTTGTACCTTCCTCGTCCGTACTGTTGTTTAGATTTGTTGTACCTTCCTCGTCCGCACTGTTGTTTAGATTTGTTGTACCTTCCACCTGCGTACTGCTGTTTAGATTTGTTGTACCTTCCACCTCCGTACTTTTGTTTAGATTTGTTGTACCTTCCTCCTCAGTAATGTTGTTTAGATTTGTTGTATCTTCTTCCTCGGTTGAATCATTATCATCAAAGGATATCTCCGTGCTCGATAGTTCCCTAACATGATCACATTTAGATTGCTCTTCGGTATTTAGCTTTACATGTAATTGGCCTATATCCATAGTGTAGCTAATGTTTGGTGTTGACTCCCCTCCGTCACATTCACTTTTGTTTCTTTCACTGTCATTTGATGATATAAGCTCTACCAAATAAACAATTGTTTTGTTTTCTAAACGAGTTTAATCTTTAGTCATATCATTTTTTCCGTGTTGGCTTTCCGTTGTTTTTTCCTCAATTACAGTTGCAATCTGTTGTTACAAAAAGAGTGTAATCTTTCAGAAACATCAGATTTTAAATTTAAGGTCTGTACAACAATACAGTGCGGAACACTCTTGTTTGATTTGTGGATATTTTGAAGGACCTATATTATAGATTTGAATATGTTGTCAATTACGTATATTATTACAGAAAACTTAATAGTCATCCGCCGTCTTTTATTTACCTTATGTGTTTGTTTTGGTTGGGGGGGGGGGGGGGGGGNNGGGGGGGGGACCAGTCCTCGCATAAAGATGTGTTTTATTAGTTCTATTATTTATCTTACTATAATTTTATCACATCGGTATGACGGTGCTTTCAGCGTTGTTTTTTGTAATTTGTTCGTGAACATTTTTTAGATCTATATTAGTATATATGCTCTTTTTCCTCGCTGAATTTTTCTGTTTCTGGTGTATGTCTTCACACATTAATAAGCTTAAACCCACCTCAACCATTGATTGTTAATATAAATAACCGTATAACTCTGCCTTTTTGCATATAAGCGTTTAGGTTATCCCAATTAAAAATAGTATAGGTTGCTTGGCATGGTTCCCTTATAGGGCCAATGTTCCCTACATACATAACCTTTACGGTACCAAACACAGTGAGTGTATATAACAGGGAACTGGAACATTCTATATAACATTAGATATATAGACAATTCAAGTAGGTGTCGCATCGTACAGTAATTTACAACTTTATATATACTGCGACGTCCACTTATAATTGTTTCTAGCTTCCGTTTATATCATGTTACATGTCCCGGTGTTGTAATATGAGCCTGTAGTATCAGCGCGTCAATACATGTTGTTATATCCGTCTCCCACAATCTGAGTGACCTATATACAACAGTGGTGATATTAAATCAGTATTACCTACCACCATATAGCTTGACGTTAAGCTAAAATGAAATTTATATATTTATCATATAAATAAACGAATAAAATATCTATGTTCTTAAAAGATCAATAAATGTTTGAAGATATTTTAAACTTTTGTGACTCCAAGATACATAATCTGTTGTACTAACACTCTCATATTATATCATTCCGTGATGATAGGATTAACCCTTTCACCCCTATGTAACTTTAGTAGGATCTACCATGCATTGATATGGATGAGTCCATTATGGTCTACAGTGGTGAAAGGGTTAATAATGCACTTCATATCTCACGCTGTGACGAATTCCAGCAATATAGTACATTTTAAATTAATTTATTTAAACTTCTGTAACAAGAGTCATTTGAATATTTCGTATTATACACGGAAATCACGCGATAAATGGCCAAATCCTTTTTCCATCGAACTTGAAGATATGAATATATATAGAGAGAGAGGCTACAATCTACCCACCGGAGTACCAAGATAAACTCGACACTCCGTACAACCGGGATGACATATTGTGACAACATAAAATAAGTCATAATTCTCAACAAGGAAAGATATAACACATACCTCGCTCTCTGTGGACATTCCATCTAGACCGGTGACATACCGGAATGTGGTACTAGGAATACTCGCTTGTTCTACTTTCGGTTTGTCACATTACAACGGCAGATAAGGGAGATAATACTATCACTCCGAAACGATTGTATGTTATTTGTGCTTCTTCTTCTTCTTCTTCCAGTAATTGCCTCATATGATTCTAAATATCATAAACATTCATTATTTTTCTACGATTTTGTCCTGTCTTGTGTCTTCCTTTAATTATATATCGATGTTTGATACGGTAACGCTTGATGAATATAACTGGAGAAATGCGTTTAATTTTAGCCTCCTTTTTGTTATTCAATTTCGAAAAGGAGTGTTACAAGATCACTGAAGTTGTGATGTGCTGAATAATATGAATTGATAATAGATTAGATTTGATTTGTGTCGCTGATTATACTTATATAATTTAATCTTGCTTGTAACAAGCATTTTCATTGGCTTACAAATTTATGTTATCAGCCCATAACGTAAAAAAATGACGTCGCCGTTTGTAACATCGCTTTTGATTGGCTGATACGGCAGCGCAATAATTTCTAAGAGAAAAGTGTCCATCAATAAAAGTGGATTTCCACAGGGATTGTGTAAAGTAGATTAAAGTATAAGGATTCGCGGTTTATTTAGAGTACACTCCGTTTTTTGTGTTATATCTCCATAACATGAAAAATATATTCAAGTTAATCCTTAAATAATAAAGGTATATAAATAAGACTCCCAATCACTTAGAAAACCTGGGATATGGTATTTTCTTTTTCTGTGATAATTATTCTACTGCTTTTTATTAATATATGTGATTATCTCCCTTTACTTGTATTATAATATGTTATTGTTATTTTACATATGTTTGTCGCAATAATAGCTCTCAAGAGCTAATGTTCCTTGTTTACCTGTATGCGACGTTAAATAAAGTGTCTTGTATCTTGTATTGATTATTGATTATTTCTAAACAGAATATAGGATATTTTCAATTTATTGTAAGAATGTTAGATCTATATATATATGCAATGATTTTGAAATAACAAACGAAAATAAGACGCATACATGACCTTTTTGGAAATAAATGCTTTAGGATTGTTTTAATTTGTTCTCAGCTTAAATAGAGATATGAACAAACAGTGTACGCTGAATTCATCTGTTTGTGTCATTGCAGTAAGTCCAAGGAAATCAACTTTATTTTCAGGCTTGCGGCGTATCAAGGGAGATAAATCCGCCACACTTCATCTAAAATTTGAGAATTCCTATCTAAAATTGTCATTCAATCTATTGACTTTCTGTCTTTTGAACTAAAAAATATTACAACAACATTTAATTATTAAATGTTGCAACGTTTGTCTAACGTCAAATTGATTTATTTTAAACATATATGTAATCAACTTCAATACCTTAGGATAAGACACAATTAAGTAAGCTTACTAAAGGCCTTCGGTCTACATAAGACAACATTGGTAAGTAAACACAAACATTGAACATTATTGATACATTTTAACCCGGCAAAGTTTTTACGTGTGTATGGGATAAAGATCAAAAAGACCGTCGCAAAGACATGAGCATGCATTGAACGGTTCCTAGTTTTCTTCAAGACAACTTGAATTTTGGACTTTCACTTTCATGAGAAGAGAATAATATATTGTAGAAAAATAGCAAAGGATATTGGTCTTATGTGCCACAGGGACCTGAGATTTTTTACGGCTATATTTGGACCTTAGCTAAGGCGTTTAGAGTAATTTTACATGTTTTAATGGGTTTGGATCAATTTTCGGTAAAAATGCCACCCTCAATGATGATAAAACTCGTATATTATCATCATTGGGGTGGCATTTTTACCAAAAATTACTCTAAACTTCTAAGCTTAGGTCCAAATATAGCTGTAACAAATGCTCAGGTCCCTGTGTTATGTATCTGTGTAAGATCGGCTTGTTATAAGATCCCACTACATGATCGTACGAGGCAACTAATGCGAGAGCGCAGCACTCTTTTCGAACACCGAGAAGAGCTGCCTCCAATGCAACATTCATGTTCTTTCTATCTTATATATTCTTTCCATTAGGTGTCGTCTGTGGTCACTGCATCTTGTCAAAAAGGTTACTGATGATGGCATGCTACATCTATCGTTTACAGGTTGTGACATTAGACCGGCCCTTGATTGGCCCCATCATCCTCTCCGAAATCCAAGGGTTCTGCACTAGATACACACATGTACTTGATTTAAACATATTTTATTGTAATTTGTGTATAATGGGAGTTGTGCACAAGTTATTCAACTTATACCAAGCCCTTTCCCTACATTATAATATAATACATGATTTCAAAATGGCATTCTTCAAGTACGACACGTGTATATCCAGGAGTTACGCTCACTTTCGCTCTCTACACCCCTCGAATATTTCATAGCAAAATCGAAGGCTCAATGTGCAGCACCTTGTGGATGATAGAGAGAGGAAGCTTTGTATGTCGACGATGCCTCATCGTCAATAGACATTGCCGCAATAACATGTTGTGACGACGTACTAACCAAACACCTGTATGTGATCAGCATTATTGACGGTACAATGTAAACAGTGACCGCGCTGTGACCCGAATGGCGATCCTTAACCATAACACACTAGGGTCGAGTTTCAAGGTTATAGCCATTAACCATTTCGTCTTCGCCCTTGGTATCATATTCCTCTACTTACCAATCACAGTATCTTTATTCGTGTGTTCTCCGGTTTTGTGAATGAAAAATCAAATTTGTTTACTCTTCTGAGAACAGGCAACTGATGTTCAGAACATGATCCAAGAACATGAACATGATATAGTGGATATTTGTCAACAGGTTCGTTCCGTTGAAAATTCCCGTAATAATCCGCGAATTCTAATCATTTGTGATGTTACTTCGGATTGTATTGGTTAATCAGAACACAGTTTGTGATAGTATATTACGCGATATAATTCATGGCTGATATTGCATGACCAAAATTGTGTCTTCCTAAAAGAACAGCCAATTGTCAGTTTGCAAGTGTAAACATCTATACAACCTGTCGTCATTTGACAAACAATCGAGATCAAATGAAACAATAGGCCGATAGGGCCTGTGTAGCGCTCACTCGTTTCTTTTGTAGTCTTAACTAGACCACACTCGATACTCCCAGGGTTACGCTCACTTTCGCTCTGCAGTATTGAGGATGTAACTTGACAAGTATTTGAATTGCTTCTACTAACTTGAGACCACGGCGGTCATCTCAGATTTCTAATTGACCCAAAGACATTCAAAATAATAAACTAACGGCAATGACAAGTGGTCATCATTGATTGTGGATTTATTCGAAAAATAACAACATTTGATGAGAACTGTAAGAGGATACTATAGAATGAAGTCTATCTGACTCACCAACCTAAGAGAGGCTGATCAGTCTAACAGAGTCTATCTGACTCACCAACCTAAGAGGGGCGGATCAGTCTAACAGTCATACGATGGTCGAGTGATAGACATAATAAAAAAGAAATCGAGCGCTCAAGATAACTAATGAAGAAAATAATATTATGCATGTACCACCGTAGACAAAAAGTATATTATGTGCCTTACAGATTATATGAAAAATTCGATCACACACTCTAGTAAAACGTTTGCCCATTATAATCACTTAATGTAAGTATGTACTTATCAAATTACAATCAATTTAGTTTCGCATCACCATGAGAGCATGACCTAATACATAATATAAAAGGTCGGGACACACAAAGCAATAGTTGTATTATGTGAGTTCTGTTGTAGAGTAATGAGTATGTATATATATATAGTTCTTCAGAAAGTGATATTAAATTTCACTGTGGAAATACCTGAGATTGAATAAGACCAGTTCTAACAAACAAATGTAGGTCGACACGCACTCTCAATATTAGTTCTCTGTGTGTACGTATGATGTATTAGTGGTGTTGACAATATATAAAATCTGAAATGATAATTTCATTTATTTGAACGACTTCGAATCTAAACTGTAACCTACAGACCAAATATAGACATTTTAGTCAGTGTGACTCTTTAGAAGGTGTTTACACTTTTCAACACATTTGACCCGTGCGACCTTAATTGTGTGTAAGGTTATATAGTCGAAGTGTTGAGAGCCCCTCAACCTATCAAACAACGGGTTTGATATCATTTCTCAACACCTAGTGGTTCATTAGAAAAAAATCATTTAAACACATTTGACCCGTGTGATCTGAATATTGGTCTACATGGTCATTACTTTGAACAAACTATGGTTCTTAAAAAGACCTCATTTGAAGTTTTAACCAAATGTATCCCCAGTGGCCTGAAATGCTTGAAAGCCCTTCATTCAATTATTGTTACGTTAAGGCTAATGAGTTATCAGAAAAAGTCAATGAAAATGTTTAACCCGTGCAATCTTGAATATGTTGTTGTTTTTTATCTTTTAGTTGGCCCTCAGCAAGCGAACTACAGAGCAAACGTCATTACTTTAGCCCTCATTAATTCGCTTGCATATTTTATATAACACATTTGACCCACGACTTTGAATTTGGTTCAACGTATTTGGTAAAGCAAGCTAAACGACAAATGTCACAATTCCAGCCATTATGCTTCTTCAGAAGCAGTTGCATAGATTAACACATTATAATACCGTAGTTTTTACCTTGAATATCGGTCAAAGTCAAATATTGAACAAATCTGCTAGTTCTTTACCCTCGCAAATTTAAGTCAAATATCACTTTCATATAACTCATGACACATAATTATAGTACCAATTTAAAGATTTTAACACATTTGAACCCCGTGACCATGGACGTGGGTCTGGGTGATTTATTAGGTCAGTCTCTGTTTAAAAAAAGAGCATATGTGGAAACGATAAGATGTGTACATTCACGCGTGTCCCTTCACTAATAAAAGCTAAAAAAGCATAAAAAGGGACAAAAAATAAGAATCGTAAACCTTAAATCACGTCTGATATGGGAATCGACTAAGACCCGGCCATACGTATGAATTTAACCTCAAGACTGAGAAAACCAGGTAGACATCTCTGTCGAAACTTCTTTATATGCTATGCAGTTGTACTTAATCTGGTGAAAGAAATCAATATAAGAAAAACAATGTTTAGTTGTAAAAAAAACTCAATTCAAATTACAACTGGGCTCTACTGATCGTATGATATTCTGTCTAAGGAAAAATATAATTGGAGTAATGGTAGATCAATGTTTTTTTCTTTAATGTTTTATAATGTATGATGGGCTATACCGCTAACTGACATTTAAAACGTGATATCAGAGCCAGGTATACTGTAATACTTTATACTTTCCCGTCATAATTGTATGATTTAGATGGTGTTTGGCACGCTAACTTGTAAGAAGATAGTATAAGTGTACTATACAATATATATTTGGTATGATGTGTTTTCAATATCTTCTTACCAATAAGTTTGCCAAACATTTACAGGCAAACCTAGGTCAGGGACGGCTCCTGATACAAAACATGGAGGAGAATCCAAGGTGTCTGTGACAACCATAGCAACTGCGAGTCTCGATTACAGTGTACATAAACGTGTACCGTTTCTTCGATTTGTAGTTACTTAGCTAAGTTTCAACGAATGTATATGAGTATGAAATCCTCTCTTTTTTTGTTATGCGTTAAATAAACAAGAGGCCCATGGGCCTTAACGGTCACCTGATATATTTATACAGAGAGTTGATTTTGTTTTTAACATGAACAGAAATATTATTCAAAGTGACAAAAAAAACAATAAAACCACCTTATTCAATATCTAGCATACAGATTTCAGACTAAAAAGTATTTGAAACTAGCACCTCTGATTCTAAACAAGGAAAATGAAGAAATTTTAGCACACTGACTCCTTTGAGCCCAACCCTACAGCCCTTGGGGGTAGGGCTGGCTCAAAATTTTCAAAGTATCAAACTGTCAACTCAAGGTTATAATTCCAATCAAGTTATTAACATGTAATATTCAAAGTATCATTTGCCATTATAAACCATAATAAATTTTGCCCCCCCCCCCCCCTCCCCCAGGGGGTAAACGTGAGACCCTAGGGTCATAAACCTTAAGACCCTTCCATCTATGAAGAGTATTTGATTCTACCATATCTGGGTCTTGAGAAGAAGATTTTTGAAATTTCAGTAAATTCGACCCTTTTTGGCCCCACCCATCAGCCCCTGGGGGTCAGTCAGGGCTGATATGTGCTTATTATCAAACTGCTACCTAATACTGATAATGCTAACCCAAATTGAATTACTTCCAATGGAAATTAAACAAATGTTGGTCCAAAATGTGATTTCCCTATATAAACTATAGTAAAGTTTACCCCCTCCCCAGGGGGAAACGTGAGACCCCAGGGTCATGAAATTCACAATTTCGGTAAAGCACCTTAAGACCCTTCCATCTATGAAGAGCATTTGATTCTACCATATCTGGGTCTTGAGAAGAAGATTTTTGAAATTTTAGTCAATTTGACCCTTTTTGGCCCGGCCCCTCAGGCCCCTGTGGGTTTGGGACTAAACTGGCCACTATTTTTGTTGACCTTTGTCCATGGAAGGTCCCTGGACAATTTCATTGAAATTGGTTCAGGGGTATTGGAGAAGAAGTCGAAAATGTAAATTGTTTACGGACGCACGACGGACGACGGACGACGACGGACAAAAGGCGATCGCAATAGGTCACTTGAGACTTTGTCTCAGGTAAAGTCTCAGGTGACCTAAAAAAACTCATCTGTGCGTCACGCACGCACCTAACGTTACGTGCAGAGAACAACGTCGAGCGTACATAGTACAATTCAACTTGAGCTGTGACAGTCTTGTTTACATGAAGGTATAGTGACCTCGTTACTAGCACGTGAGCACGTGATGTGTTGTTATCGACAAACGAGACCGACTGAAACCAGCTGACTGTATGGGCATTTATTTACATAATTCATTATGGTTTTAAGATATGAACAGTGACCTGTTTGTTCGTATGAATCATCAATCTTTTTTACACGGAAGCAGTGTAAGGAAAAACAGTGAGCTAAATTGATGGCTTTTTATGCTTACTGCTAAACAACATATTTATTGCTATAAAACTGTATAAATTTGTTTATCTAAGCACCAAACTGGAATTAATAATGATTAACTTTGTAATTATGGACAGGCTGCCTGCAGATCTCATCACCTTACAATTTGCATGATTTTAAATTTTGAGGAACCTTGGATCACTTTGTTTACCAAAACAGAGAGCATCCATAAGGAATTATCCGGTAAAATATACATTCAACTTCGATTTTAAATACGGACCATGAATCCGACTGTTAACGGATCACAATTGTCTCTGAATGTATACGGACCATGAATCCGACTGTTTACGGATCACGATTGTCCGGAATACCGAGGTACATCTGAAATAATAGACACGGTTGCGTAACACCATACATATCCGAGTCGGGATCCGCCACTGAGACGCAAATGGAATGCAAATGCTGTGGTTGAAATATATGTATAACATGAATATTTATTACATGCACGCTTACATGTATCCCAAAGGTGAATTAACTTTAATCTGTTGACACAATTTAAACAGTATATGTCAGACTCAACAGTAGTAAACAACATGTTTACAGGAGCAAAAGACATATTAAACAGTATGAATAATCATTTTGATTAGAAAACCAAACATGTAGCATTGTAAAAGTGGCGTATAACAGTTTGGAGAACTTATAAGTATTCTGACCCTGCAGGAGTCAACAATCTTGTATCTGGGGATGTTACCAATCTGTGGTGAGGGTGTTATGGGCAATGACCGCAGGGTCACGGAATTGAGACCTCGTGTGGCACACTGTATAGCAGGTTTGGCCAGTGTCTTCATTGGTTAAAATAGCACGTCACGTATGCCATGCGTTGTGACGTCATGCTTCAAATGGCGTAGTATTCGTAATCGGCGTCACAATTCTATGAGATTTCTTCCCTTTCGGAAACTGGTAGCATGCATAAAACATTGCTTTCCGAATGTTGCAAATTTGTTATCATTAAAACAAGATATGGGGAACTTCTATGTATTCAAGATTTGTTTTGCGAGATACATCAATATTGACTCCTGGCGAATATTTGTTTTCATTACGTACGTAGTTCTCGAAAGTAAAGAAATACATTTTGATTGCTACAAATACATACACTGTATATATATATATATGCCAAAGGATAATCTAGTCCTATTATATTTATACGTTTATATGTTACTGATGGGTTAGCAAGGTACCAAAGGGGCATTTAAAAACATTTAAGTATTTGATCGACGATACCTGATTTAAATGGCGTTTCCCTGTGAAAATATTCCTGGTGTTTTTGGAAGGAAAATGTTATTTAATTAGTTCGTTGTTGCATTCTTTACCAACAACCATCGACGATTAAAATGAAATATTTTCGCAACTGGAGAGTGACTGTTCTCTACTGTACTTACACGAGACAAGATAACACATTTACCTTACAATCTTGCGATTACACCACATAACAGAATTAGGTCATCTCGAGATTAAGGTCGTGTTACTGTTTACGTCGGAGGTACAAGACATAGTCACCGTTTTTCTGTGACTGATCATGAACGGAGACCGTTTACGCGGCCCTAGTTCAGGGAGAATCAACCACATTTCTGTATATGGGAAGTTACGGAATCCTTGAGATGCATGTGCCGGGAATTGAACAAGACATACAATAATATATAAGATGATACGATATATTGTCGTAGTAATGAATGTAAAATATTAATATAAAAATTAGTCTCTTCCCATATTAATGCACTGATATAAATGAACAGTGTATGTTCTTCTGAAATTGTACCGTTAACAAAATAATATGCGTGCATGCATTGGGAGAGGGATTGTATGTTTCCCTTGTAATTCAGAGGTCATGCTCTCTTACATCAGCTGAACTAAGAGACGCAGCGTATGCCCTGGAATGAGGAAGCATGCACATACAGTATACACATGTGTTCGCTTTGTCTGCGTCCCTGATTCCAGAACGCAAACTCGAGACATACATTTATAAACTCAAATTGGAGTCATATAAATCGCTGTTGTGTATTTGTATCGTTTGTTTATCTGCATACTTAATTTTAGTTGGTTCTTCTGGCTTTTTTTGGTTTCGTTATTGAAGGTGCACGTACAGCACAGCTTTATAATGGTACTAATACGGACGGTATAGCTGCATCTTGCACCTCTGCTGCAGCAGCCTCCCTAATTGACGAGTTGGCATGGCATCATGTAACGTATGACTAGTCAAATATATTTGTGTGCACGTGCCAAAACGAGGCGTTGTGCTACATTATATAAAATTCAGTCAATACTTACAGGCAACATATGTTCCTACTGTATTTAAAGACTGAGTAATCAATGTATCCACTGCTGTGATACTCGAGTGCACATTCCTGAATTTTGTATTTACATAAAATCCGATAATCTCACCTCACCATCCAACCCTAGTCCACACCAAACATCTATATATATGTCAAAATGTGTAAGTCTGGTGTTGGGGCTAGAGGAAACTCGGGCTACATCCAACCCTCATCCCAAACCCCTATCCACGTGCTGCCGTACCTGCCTTCAAATGATAGTCATTCGAATGCTTGTCATGCTTAAAATGTAATATAGTGCGGTTCATTAGATAAATAGCGGTATGTAAACACAGCCTCATTGTGTATGCATGGTTTAAGTACTTTTTAAAATAGCGCATGTGACCTGGTTATTCTCCGCGTCTTCTAGAACACAATTGAACGATTTAATCGTCATACCATTCTAATCAAATTAATTAAGTAGCGTTTCGTAGCAACAGAATTATACAGATAGTATTGTCAACATTGCTCTTTTTTTTTTAAACAGTTGACGATTAAACTCTGGTCACATGATGTATTTAGCCGGGGCTGTGTCGTGTTAGTAAACAACATAAAGGCTCTCCAAGGTTTCTCAAGGTCGTTCGAGCTTGTTTACGTGAAAAATTCTGCGGGGTTCATTTCCCGCGACAGGGGCTGGGTATATAAACGATTGCACGCTCTCGTTTAGCATAACAAACCCGGACTAGCGACATTGAAAGAAGGAAAGAAATCGTTCTTGATTATTTGTTTTGTCTCAAGACATTGAAAACAGGTAAGTTATGTTTCCTCATTACGTGAATGATACAATAATATTTGGTGACATTTGGTTTAGAATGGTTGTCATGGCAGATTTATCTGTATCTGTATGGAATACACTGCTGGATCCCAATTAAGGTAATATTGCAGCGGGTGTCGCACAATATTTGTTTAAAATTGTGATTCTCGAGTTGTGTTCGTTTGAGCTGGTTGTTGTGAACGAAGACCAGCTCAATACTGTCACCATGCAATAACAAGTTACATACACATGTATGTGCTTTTGCAATAGTTAATAATTACACTTCCAATTCAAATAAGGGAGGGTGGCGGCGAGTGTTTATTTACTTGCGGTGATGCAAAATATAAATAGCCCAGGCCTTATTTCTATTCAGAGGGCATACTATAATGTTAATGAGTGTCTTTTTTGTAATTTTGACAGGCATGGACCCGAAAATTTTTCGCAAACTTGGGGGTGGGAACGAGCCCCACTATGCTCCGCATCTCAACACGGTACCCGCATCAAAATCTGTTGATTACCACTGGCTAAATCAACCTGCTGTGAAGAAGCCGAAAGTCGACCTCGCCAAGACTAAGACCATTCAGATTGGGCGTCAGGGCAGTGTAGAAGACCCTACTTCTCCGATCGGCTCCCCTTCTCTATCCGTGGGATCGCCAGGGTCAACGGCCATGCCCAGCTCTCCTCCCATATCTACCTTCTCATTCAACAACTTCGTCACCCAGCCAACGGGACTTAAATCCGAGAAACAATTCTACCATACATTCGACTTCAAATCTTAAGTGACTTAAATTTCAAGGAAAAAAAAACTGACCTGAGTAAATGGTCAACAAAATAACTGGGGAATGTATGGAACTTTGAGGATATTTTTTGCACCATTTTTAAAGAGGACTTTCGGACATTCATTGGGGGATATTTGCCATTCAGGTTCATCCGTGTATTCTAAGTCACTCGCTTCAACAAACATTATGCAAGTATGTTTGAAGCTAGATCAATATCATGATCGATTTGTTTTTGGCGATGGTAAAATATTTGTATATCGAATGTTTAAAACACAGAGCTAGTCCGTCTTTCACGTTGTTGCAAATTTCAGTTGCATAAAAGTCCGCAAATTTGTGATGAGATACGAGTACTAGTTATTATGCTCGTTGTGACTTTTCATAACCTCGTATGGTATACATGTGCTATTTCATTTTTTTCTTGTACGGAATACGAGTTTGTATATAAATAGGGTAGAAGCCCGAGTTTTTGAGTTGCGTGTGTTTACATTATTTGTCATTGCTTTTCAATTAAATCATATTTTTGTACAAAAACAAATGCGTTTAGTTTTGAATCATTTATTTCTCCAGCAATCTTTAAAGAGAGCTTGTAGCTATGTTCTGTTTTTGTTCCGATGCATGCTTTAACACGAATGTCATGCTATTCCTATACAGACGAGATTGGAAGACAGATTAGACTGGTGTCGGCAGCTACGTACATGACCGGCCACATTGTTTGTAAACAACTTCCCACGTGGCCAACTCCCTCGAAATTAGTCGGAACACGTCTGTCTGTTTCAACATCTTAAATGATGACACTAGAAACGTTCCGAAGGTTGCGTCTGCGCGCAGGTGGAGAATATTTTAACCGACATGATCAAAGCTGCGCATGGCCTTGAATTGGGTCGTGGCAGCTTGTTGACTGAAATATTGTCGGTCACATGGTGACTAAGAAATGTATATTTAGATGCCAGCTTTCCTTCCTATTGTTTGTATGTCTATAGACATTTTATTGAGTGCTAATTGTTCAGGTCGTGTGGTTTACAATTGCTCAGTTCTTAATTGGTTTTTAATGTACATTAGATAGCGATTATTATCGCTCAGCAACAGCTAGGTAAATAGTGTACTATTACGATGCTTTATTCAATGTTGGCTATGTAGGTACATGGACAAGAAACTGCAGTTCGATGACCAGCCTGAACACAGCTGTGCAAGCCCGATTTTCCTCTGACCCCGATATAAACTCGAGATAACGGCTATGCATATGTTTTGACTGTCGACCATATGGGCATAGTATACACGTGTGTTCCCCCACCATTTTGAAGACATTTAAAAAAAACCTTCTAAATCACGAGGCCTCGACACGATCATAATCTAACCTACTCGTGAATGTGACGGTGCATGAATGAGTTTAGAGGCGTGACACTTGACCACATTGAACTACACGTTAGCGCAAGTTTAGTCCGGACCAAAGCCTGGTTAACTTGATGAAAGATTACGAACAGTTCGTTTTGATTATGTATGGACACGCTAAACGTTTGTCACATGCTTCCCCGTTTAGAAAGGTCCCATCGTATATTAAAATGATTATGTACGGGACTTAAAAAACGTGTCAACGAGAAGTAAAATGTCTGCGGGATTGAATGAAACAATAATAATGAAGTTTACACACCGAAGACTTCTGGGCGAATAAGACATTAAATCTATTGGACACCAATTAGAACAGACGATCTATTGTATGTGTACCGACGAAACCTGCCCAGACGACCATCTGGTACAGTGTAACAATATTATTCAGACTATGATGTGAGCAAAACAACTTGTTGCACCCATGGTTTGTACTGCTTCACCCTTCCGTCATTAATGCAGACTCGCGGCATCCCGATTTTATGAAAGCCACTCGATTTTGCCGGAGTTCAAATAAGCCTACTTAAAGTTTAAAAACAATTTCTAATACTGACTAAAAGGCTCAGTATAGCTCTCATGCCAAGTACAGTATGTTTAAAAGTGATTCATTTAAATGACGAAAAGTCATAGGTCATGTTATTGTGGTTGAAGCGTAAATAAGTTTTTAAAAGTATATTCGAGTCCCTGCAGGTAGGGCGTAAGAGTCTGTAAAAATGGTAGTTTCTACTCCTGCTTAACGTTCAGCAATTTATGAATGGGACGACTGGTTCGCCCGTTGTCAGTATAATGTGACCGGGAGGGGTGTCTTCGGCAGTATGTTTCAGTGAGGTAGCACTATAAAGTCGGCATCAGTTCCGCGATATCACAAGGAGACGCACGAACATATCGCAGCCTCCCAAAACACGAATAAACTACACGCATGCATCTTGCACAAAGGGGAGCCTTAAATGGCCATAGCTGTTGACAGACTAAACCAACACCAAACCCAAGTATATTTGACCTTGACCCACTTTTGAGGTTACACGTGTGAAAGTAATACCAAGTGAGCGATGCAGGTCCATTTGACCTCTATTGAAAGTCTTTTTCTCTAAAGACCTTATTGACAACCAAAAAATACCCCAGATCTGAAGCTTGGTTAGTAGGTACCAGGAATGGAGTGCTATTTCCAATGGTATAGGTCAACTTTGAGCTATGAAATCGTTCCTTTGGACAATGGTTCTGATATATTGACAGTGTAGGTACCAGAGATAGAGTGCTATAAACTTTCTTCATATAAATGACCTCGACATTTCAGGTCACAGGGGTCACTTAGGTATGGTACATGTAAACCAACAGTGGGAATCTTTTACTCGCATATGGTGCGGTTTAGGTTGAAGGTTGAGCGCTGGTTGGGGTCAAAGGTTAACATTGGATCAATTGATAAAAAAAAGTTCAGAAATCTTCCTCTTGAGTTTCATCAAGTCCAGGGTCCTGGTGTAGTGTTAAAAAAAGTGTCTTGCTATGTAAAATCTTGACTGTCTTTCTAGGTCATATATGGGTGGCTATGTCAAACTTTTTCAAGCAACGTATATGTTCTAAAAACCTGAAGGTCTATAGAAAATATACTAACCATGTTCTTTAAATTAATTGATGCTGATGGTCGATGCGGAGACCGGAATCATATAATTCCGCGGAATCTTTGAACCGCAGCAGTCCAAAGGGGGACTAATCTTACCAAGAACAAGAATTCCACGGAATAATAAATTGGCGTAATGAATTTGTATGTGTCGCACCCAGTTTGAGAATCAAAGAAGAATATAGAAACTTAGCATTCGTGATGACCTACCTTTACTGAAATAGAATTAATTTAAAACTTTAGAAATTAAAAATTCAAATTTGATATTTTCTTTAATTGTCAAACTTTTGAATATATATCAAAGTTTATAGGGTAAAAAAAAACCCGGAAAGGGTTTTTTTTTTTTTTTTTTTACAATTTAGAAAATTATTCTCGGTTATTATCCATCCACCAAAGCAAGTATTTTGATGCATTTCAGATGAAACATTGTTTATCCAAGTGTACTTGTTGTAGAACTTTCAGCTTTTGAATAACCTAGCTAAACCTGCAAACACAGTAACTTATAACAAAAATTGGTATTATGAAAAAGAAGCAAGAAATCAGTGTAATATTCAGCATCTGAAGTATTTTCTATAATCCGAATTCAACTGGTCCTGTAATCATACTTTTGGAAAAACAGAGCTGAACATTGATGAGGAAAATGGCAGCTGCTGGACCGTATGCTTGAAATAATATGTTTTGCCAAGGATATATATATATATATATATGGTGTAAGTTTATTGTAGGTGTAGGAGTTTTGAGATACAACACATTACATACAGGTAAACGCAAAAACATATAGCATTGTCTGGGATGCTTCAACGGTCACTGGACAAGGAAATTTAGGCCTCATTTAGTAGCTAATGCAGAAGTTAGGATAAAAACTATTGTCCAAGTTGGGTTGGTGGCACTAATGCTTTTGTAGCATATGAGCTGTAAAAACTAGTATCCTTATAGCAGCTGATGTTTGTAATGAGATTTATTACATACTTACTGATAAATACGGATTTTTTGTATATGCGATACGACACAATTGCTCTAACCCATATCAGCCCTCGCCGTATCACACCCCAAAACCGGTATCAGCCCCCGCCGTATCACACCCCAAAACCCGTATCAGCCCGCAAAACCCATATCACACCACTTTTGGATTTTTTTCGTATTTCAATATTTCAAAAAGAAAATTAAATCATAAGAGAATAGTTTGTATTAGTAAATATGTAATAAACAGAATAAAACACGCCTTTTTCCATATCACACCCAGTATCAACCCTCGACCAATATCAGCCCTCGTGCCTTCGGCCCTTGTGCTGATATTGCAGTCTCGGGTTGATTCGTTAATGAAACATGGGTGTGATATGGAAAAAGGCATGTATTATTCTCTATGTACTGCCTTGAATGTAGCTATGCTGTAAGTTAGGTAGGTCTTTGACTAAAACCTTACGAGTACAACACGTAACCCACTGCTAAACGCAAAAAAATATCTGCATGAAATTTCGTCTACATTCAGTAAATAATGCATGGTTACCAATGAAGAAGCTAAGATGAACTATGGTCCAAGTTTGGATGGTGTAGCACTTATCCTTTTGTAAAAACAGAGCTAAATGCAAAGCTGCTGGGGTCGCCGTCGGAAAGGTGACGTCTATGTCTCGCTTTGTTTCCTTTAAGGAATATTTTCTTTTTTGGTTAGGTTATGAGATGATAAGTCCAGATGAGCACGTTTTAATTGAAATGCACCCGATTTAGGAATAATCTAGCAAATTCAGTAAGTAAGTTCATGTGAACCGCTAGGAATAATGAAGGGAAATCGAATTCAACTAAGATAGGCTTTGTGCTTTAGGAATAAACAAGCTTGTTAAAACTAATTGTAGCAAAACAATGTTATAATAAACCTGCGGCTGTTTACGTTTTTCATGATGTGAAAATTAAAGTGCTTCAGCTAGGTTCTCTACGTGTCGGAGTGTGTCCAGCATGGGAAGGTGGAGATTATAGCCAACGACCAGTGAAATAGGCCGTGTTGCATTCTCGGACACTGTGAGATGCGGCCAAAAGGGGGCTTCGTTCCCCGCTGATGCCATTTTCGACGTCAAAAGACAAATTGTACGAAGGTATGATGAGGAGGTAGAACCAGAAATTTGCTTATTATGCATGATTTACCAGTACTTTGAACAATAAATATAATGGTGAAAAATAAATCTTTGTTACAAATACAACCAAGATGATTGTAAAAGTTATGCATCAATGGCTTAAACCTGTGAACTTATAGTTGAGCAAGTTAAGCAGTTGCAAAATCTCCCGAGATATTTTCCAAAATATGTCGATAGTTAAAATGACCTGAAAGGCTACGGCTAAACTATCGCAATACACTTGATTTACCTTAACTTTATTGATTCACAATAACCATATTGATAAATATATATCCATTTCAACAATATAAATGAGGTACAGGTGTAAATGTGCTGCATAAGTACAGAAGGATACTATTTAGTTTCAATATGTTAACTTGTAACTGAGAAAGCCTAGTAGTTGTGAAATATTTTCCAAAATAATTATTAATAATAATTTGAGGTTCTTATATACCGCTTTTTCACAACCTAGTTCGTAGGGCGTCCCAAATTAAAGCGATTCACAAATTATTATCCGTTGTTATAGGTCCTTTGCAACCAGCCAATATCTTTCTCAACTCCCTGGGGAGCAAACAGCCGGTGCTGCCATTTCGGCGCTCGCAGCTAGCATTCAAAAATGTCTAGCACTGCCCAACCACGTATTCATTTACAGCTGTTTAGACTGGAACAAGCGGAGTTAAGTATCTTGCTCAAAGATACAACACAGTGCCGTGACGTGACTCGAACCGTCAACCCTTGGGTCATGAGCCCGACGTCCTACCACTAAACTACCGTGCCTCGAACGTGTATACATGTTTAGTTGAAATGGTCAAGAAAATATCATTGCTTTTGTTTAAAAGCACATTAGAACAGACAATTGTATTGTGTGGATCCGTGTATCAAAATGATATCATACGGACAGTCACGTTTTCTTTCAGCATCTGTATTGACATTGAATTATATAAAATTTCACTACTTGATCCATGATTCTGAAAGTGATTAATACATCACGAATATCGATACAGTAGAATCTTGTTGGTCCGGACGTCATTTTTCAGTTGGGACACTTCTTTGTTAGTTGGGATAGTTATAATCTTTATTAGCCCTTTGTTGCAATTGTTCATTGTTGAATTTCCTAACTGTGTCTTATACAGTTTTTGTTAGTCCATTAAAATATTTGTTAACATTGTCTAGTAATGTTTTCTCAAGTTCGCTAGTGTATTTGGTAACTCAATTCAGACATGTTCTCATAAAAATAAGTCCATTTTGTGACTAAAGGCCTGTTCGTTTATTCGGAACATTTTGAAATGTAAACATTTTCGGATATAAATCTTGGCGGACCTGTAAATGTTTATGCAGGCCGTGCAAGGCTCGCCTGAAATTAGCATCAGATTGCTAGGACCTTGTTTCATTAACGAACAACTCGGGTCCAATTGTTTGGATAGCCATAAATTTGTCACAGGAAGGGAGATAACTCAATCCAGTAAACATTAAGTTTCATAAAAGTTTCCCCAACCCTTTTTCCAACGCTAAAATTATTCAACTTTGCTTGTCAAATCACAGAGGCATAACACATTTTCATTGTAAGTTCAATCCATTTGCAATGTGAAGTTAATAATTCTGTCTTGTTGAAAAATAATGATCTGCATGTTAACACCATTCCTCTTCTAAATAGTTCAACAGAAGAGCAAACACAGTTTTACCCAAAATACTACAAATTTATTATTTTGCTTCTACTGAGACAAAAGTACAGTCGTCCAGTCATCTTAATGGTAATGACAAGACAGGTTTCTATTTACGAGGCTAATCATCCACCTACAAGACTGAACATGGCAGATCTAAAAAACTTCCCTTAGGTCAGACTAGCCTTGGCTCACTCACTCCTAAACATTTGGCCCAAACCATGAAAACCTCTGAAAAATATTTTCATCACAAATACATTCACTGTTACAACATCAGTTCATTTGGCAGTTATTTTGCTACTTATTCTTAGAAATTCAAACAATGCTAAGGTTTGATGACAATAAATGTTGTTTTCAAATTTAAAAAGGATGAAATACCTTTTCAAAAGATTAATTCAGCAGGAGTTATCAAGTTAAAGTTTAATATTTATCATTCCAGCTTAAACATCTAATACCGTACGAAATGTATAAGCTTCAAGTCAAACCTTCGTATTGTTCAGTCAGACCTGTAATAAGAGACCTGTCACCTTCAGGACATTCATTAAGTTGTCTCTTTTTGCAGGTGGTCTCTTTATACAGGTTCATGAATTGGAAGTTTTAAAAGTGGTCCATTAGTACAGGTGGGTTTTTTAATCTCTAGAGTAAGTGGTTAGTATAAATTCATGACCCTTCAGTTCATTTAAAAACTCATATTTTGAGAAATGAATAATAATAATATATATATTAATTGGCAGGGAGAGTCAATCATAACTTGAAATATCTCAAATATTAATTTCAACACATTTAAATACAAAACATACAGCATTATGCATCTCTTACAGATTGTAGTACGGTATGCCTAATGTGCTTCAATAATATTTATGATATTAAAATCAATTCAAGCAAGATGTTTGTACGTGTACTGTTAAAATTTCACGAATTACAGTACATGTATAACAAAACACTTTCATTTCTGTAACCTACTACATGCATTTTTATAAAAACACTATGAAAACGAAACCAACTTTTACAATAGTGATGACTTGGCAAAAAATAAGAGCATACAAAATCTGAAAACTGTTTGGAGTTTGTAACTGTTACTAACATTTCATAACTTCAAAAGCAAAAGTACCAATAGACTGTGAAAGGTCAACAAATTGTTTTGGGCAAAAATATTTAACAAGAACATCAATATTAACATAAAAACATGTACAAAGTACTGAAACATAACAAAAAAACACTTACTTTCAATGAGAAGATCGACTTAAACAAGTTTTTTCTGTACACGCTGATATGATGCAGCTGCCACATCCCGAGTTTTAAATCATTATTCCGATGTCAAGTGAATGTCGTGTAAATAATTATTCCGTTGTCAAGTGAATGTTGCGAATTCTCAACTTCTTACATCAAAATGAGAAAGAATGTACATGCATATTGTGTCAATTGACACGAATTGTTCGATAAGATTAATTCATTTCAAAACAAGCAACTTTGATCAAACTGAACACAAGTTTATATCATAATGGTTCATACACGTATGCGAAGAAATAGCAGTGTTTTTTTAATGACATAACAATTAAATGAACATTTATGAAGGTTTACTTGATACAGGTTTTGTTTGACAGATTTGCATACCCGGTAGTATGCAGAAGGTCCAGGGGTTCTCAAGTTAAAGGACGTACACTGTATAGCCTTCATCAAGTAATTGGTTACCTTTAAAGTCTTAAATTATGTAGCTTCTCTGTTTTTCTTCGTGGTGAAACATTGTGGGGTTTCAATTTTGCAGAACAACATTTTAAGTCAATACATTTAGTCATAACTATTTAAATGAAATGCAACAGATTCACAATAGAGCACACTTACTCGAAATCCAACTAGAACTCTATGCTGAGCAGCCAATGTTAATTGCCTTAAGCATTGACATCAAAAATTTGGATTATGCAATACAGCAAATTCTAGTGAATGTACTAAAAAAATGTACTGGATTGCTTCATATATCAACAATGATGTAAAACTGATTTCATCATATACTGACACCATCACATCCCTGATATGTACATTGTTAAGCATAAGTTCCATGGTAACGAAAAAGGAAACAAGCTTGCATATCACCATTGTCAACTTGATATCAATATTTGAAATAATGGAATAGACTCTCAACCTAAGTAGGTCAGGCTCTGGTGACTATGGTGACAACAGATCATCTAAAATACCCACTAATACAGCAATAAGGCACAATTATTGAGATTATTGCAAACATGTGCTATACAGAGGTATACATCATAACAAAGGAAGCCAGTTGTAATTTGACACTGTTAGATGCCAAAATTGTCTGCTTAAAAAAATGTATTATTCATGGAACACAAAGAGGTTCCTTAAAACACTGAATTACCTGGAAAACAGATAGGTTGGGTACACTGCCTTATGATTAGTAATGAGATCACTATTGGCAAAATGATGTCAATCTTAAGCTAATATATACAAGCTTTCAAATCTTAATACAAACTTGTTTGCAATGTATTGGAAAAAACCCTATTGAAGACTGAATAATGAAAATGAAACAGGTGTAAATACCATTAAAATTATTTAATTATTTAGCTTTAATTATGAAACAATTCTTGCGGTATCACCGTATCAACTGGTAATAAGTAAGTAAACACACCTCCAACATTACAACATTATATACAATGCATCAGCGAAGGTACAAAACAACCCTTACAAATCACAAGAACTGAGCTCAATGTAAAATAAATTTAGAAAAATGTAACAAGTAGTAGCAAAATTAGTCCATATTTTAAGATACACAATATAAATACATTTAAGAAACTCAATGGAATGCTAAAGAACTTGATATGCAAAAATTGAACATTGATACACGAGGTACATTTTCTTTGATGATATGAAATATTTTGACTTTCAATGCATGAATGATTTCACTGATATGTGGAATGTTAGGCCAACTAAATTACTCATATGGAGTAATAGACAATCTCATGTAGAGGTCAAAGGTTACATCACAAAGGTCAGTCACACTAACCTAGGTGACTGTATAATATTCTACAGTCTCACAAGGTATTATATACCCGTTTCCCAAACTAAACTGAACACATTTGACATTGGCGATTTTCACATTACAATACACACTGAAATACACATTTCCTCCTTTCACTGTCATTCACGCAATTTTCATCATTCTTCATCAACATTTATCGTAGCGTTGGTCAATTCTATCAATACATATATCAGGGTTATTTCATTGGTAAGTACAAAGGATTTATTTTCTCTTCATACATATTTGATGTATATAAATTAAATGCCATTTAATTCTATACAATCAACTTTAAAATGCATACAAAAATGAACAAAAGCAAAAACAGGAAATACATTACTTAAAATATTAACATCTTCCTATCCTCATCAGCACTATATTCTTCCTATCTTCATCAGCACTATACTTATGTGTATTCAGTGAGACAAACGTATTTGTTAATAATTCATTATGTAATACTGAACATTATCCACATATTTACAGCAAATGAAATCTGAAAAAGTCTGCTTCCCTTGTTTTGTTAAATTATTATCGTTCACATTTAAACAAAATTTACTGACTGTTGGATAATTGCTTTTGGATGTAACTCAAAAGTTTGTAACCAAATTTATCCTTGATGCATGTCACAGACTAAATCCTCTGGTCACCCATGATGCAGGTCACCTATTTACATCAGCAATGATATGGAATGTTTACAACAGGTTTGAGATCAGGTGTGATACACGGGACAAATGCACCTCTATTAATGGTAATAATGTCTGTTTACTTGTACACTTCCACAACAAGCCACATGGCACAACATTGACAACAAGTGTCTGTGTGTCATGTCAGGCCACATGGCACAACATTGACAACAAGTGTCTGTGTGTCATGTCAAGCCACATGGCACAACATTAACAACAAGTGTCTGTGTGCCATGTCAAGCCACATGGCACAACATTAACAACAAGTGTCTGTGTGTCATGTCAGGCCACATGGCACAACATTGACAACAAGTGTCTGTGTGTCATGTCAAGCATTTTAAATAATTTTAGCAGAATGTCCAAGTACATTGATATGTCAGATACCTGTCATAAGAAAGCAAATCAGAATACCTATAATAGCAGAACCTTGTTAGACCAAGTTCAAAAGATACAAATTCTGATTTGATGCTTTTGGAAAAAATATTATTGTCTAAAGACAATTTCCCAATCAAAAGTTGAAAATATTGCTATTACATAAAGTAACTATATTACCAGCAGTGAGCAATTTTGCATAATTATCAAAGGACGAAAATATTTTTATTTCAAAAGTAATGGTTGGAGTAAAGAGGTTCCACTATTCTCTAATTTGTGTTGCCATGACTACAGGCCTCCATGAAGGTACTCCCCAGTACTGTTATAAGCCCTCCAGGTCCTCATTGCTGCCTGTACTAGACCTCCTCCGGAACAGAACACGTTTAAGGCTGACCTGGTCAGGAGACTTTTCAGGCGAGCTATGACTCCTGGTGGAAATTTGTACATCACTAGTATCGTGTGGCGTTGACTTACATGACCCAGATAACAGAGACTCAGAGCTCAGAGCTTTCTTAATCCGGGGCTCCTCCTCAGGAGAATATTTATCTTCCTTCCTCCTGTAAGAATAAACATGACTGTATATATCTCTGATTTTAACAACTGCAAAATCTAAAATTCAAGAAGTTTTGAAAAATTACAATCACTTTTATAATTGTCTGGATTGGGAACAATCCTGAATATAACTTATAATTACTTTGGCAGGTCCTTGGGAGTGATCCCAAGGACACGGTACAACTCGGTGGTGGACGGAGTTTTGGGTTTACTGGACGGTGCTGGTGAAAACATTGGTGTGGATGGCAGTAGTCTTGTCCCTTCACCTGATAATAAAGGGTAGAGGACAGAGGTTATTTATAATATAGTGAAGTACATTCTACATAAAGACCATTGCATGAAGAGTTCTGGAGTTTCAAGGAAATTCAGTTTAACATGTGACAAACAGCAGAAAACACGAAAACATGTTTTCTGAGCCTCTATACCGAGGAACATAAAGACTTGGTAATTATATTGTCCACATCTCTTTATTTCTAGGAGATGTAAAGAGATGACAATAATGTCTTCCAGGAAGATATTTTACTGGGAATAAGCCCCATCTTCTCATTGAATAGGTTTTCCTTTACAGATAACTGCTAGTTATATCTAAAAAAAAAAAAAGCACTGGTGATCATTCTTATCCTCTCTGCACAAGGAATTAGTATAGTGAGGTCTCTACCATTTATTGTAAAAGTCTCCCTCAAGATGTAACAATAAGTCTACTTTGTATTATCAATTGACCTACCTTTTTGGGACTTTCTGTTGGACGGAGTGGATTTAACAAATGGGGAGATCTGTAGAAACTGGTTGATAATGGACGATCTCTGATCATCAAGAGCTTTTCTCTGAAAAAAAAAAAAACATATTCAAACACCTGTATTAAATCATTTGTTAACTTAAGATTTTTTTGTAAAAATACCATCCATTACTGAAGCCAAGAGTATATTTTATCTGAACATGACAGATTTTATTCATATACAAGAGATCCCAAAGGGATCTTGGTGCTCACCAATGTACCATCTTCATTAGTTTATGTCAGTTTGATCTTTTCGCTTCTTTTCTCTGCACCATTTCACATATTTATTAGTACAGTTCTTTAAATGTAAGAGAAATAGATCTGATCATTACAATATCAGTAAGATCTCATTAGTCCTTCTTGTGGCCATCTACTTTTATGATCACTCTCTACATTAACATGCACAACTACAGATTAAGGGGAACCTACACACAACATTTGAGATAGATCCCTCTAAAACTTCATGAGACTGATGGTGGGCTAAAAATGTATAATCAGAACTTGTTTACAGTTTTCACCCTAACAAAGTATAACTCTTTAACACCCTGTACATGTATGAACTGTTCAACAAATATGTAAAAATCTGCATATCAAGATGCTTAGAATTTAAAAGGTTTTCCATTTATAGTTAAAACTGTTATCATACATCATTCTGTGAAAAAGTTCAATTCATCCCTCAGTATAGGGGAGATAACTATCTATTTTTGTGTAAAAGAACCAGGCTGCATTCGTTTGTCGCAATCGGTTGGACCAGAGTTGTTCGTTTATGAAATAAGGTTGGACCTAGCAATCAGATGCTTTCAGGCGAGCCTTGACAAAGCCTTGCAAGGCCTGCATAAACATTTGCAGGTCCGCTAGGACTTCTACCCAAAAATGTTACATTTAAAAACAGAAAATTGGTTGAAACTGATATGCGAAAGGGACCCCAGTTTATCTGTCAGACAAAGGGAGGTAACTACCAGCATTCTGTGTAACAGACTGCAGTTTAACGTACCTCCCTCCCAAGTCGGATGGCTGCCTCTGTGTACTGTTTACGTTCTTCTTCAAAGTTGGCCTTCTCCTGGTAAAACAGGCGGCGCTGCTCAGCCATGCTTTCCTGCTCCTGAAGGAGGCGCTCCTGTAGTTGGACTGACTCGTCTAGGTATGACGTCTCTGCCGCTGCCTTTGATTGGTTAAGTATAGATTGCTGTGGAATTAAATACAAATATTTCATCAACCATAATGTTACCAAATTATCAGAGTAAATTAATTCCAAATAAGTTATCAGTGTTATTAGAACAAGAGGCCCACAGGGCCTGTATCGCTCACCTGGATACCTAAGCAATCATGGCAAACTATTCTCCAAATGAGATCAAGGGAATATGCCAGACCCCAAGGCCAATCTTTGTAGCATAGCTATATTAGATTTTTCATGCCAAGCAATTTTATGTATGGTTATGGGGTGGGGATCTCAACTGTTTCCAAGCTTTGACTCACAATTTAGGTCCCTAGAGTTGTGTCCAGACCCCAGGATCGATTCTAATATCTTGACTGCATTTGTCTCTTTTTGCCAAGCATTTGTATATATAGTTTTGGGGTGGGGATCTCAACCGTTTCAAAGGTATGACCCAGGGGCCAAGTCTGCAAGGGTGGGGCAGACCCTGGGATCAATTCTAATATCATGACTGCATTCGTCTCTTTATGCCCAACAATTGTATATATAGTTTCGGGGTGGGGATATTAACCATTTCAAAGTTATGACCCAGGGGTTAAGTCTCCAAGGGTGGGGCAGTCCCCAAGGCCAACCTGGAAGCATATGTGCAATCATCTCTTTATACTCAGCAATTGTATATATACGGTGATAGGGTGGGGCTCTCAACTGTTTCCAAGCTGTGACTAAGAAACTAGGTCCCTAGGGGTTCGGTCAGACCCCAGGGTCTATTCTGATAT